AAGTAATAATTTTAAGTACGGATGAGGTTTTTCTAATAGCTCATCATTAATATTAGTTTACTATATTAGAAGGTGCATTAAATTATTTTATGACTAAAACAGTTTCTCTGCTTTGTAAAACTCCGTCATAAAATTATCCTGTGTTCATGCATGTTTGGATGTACAGTGATAGTCTTTATTTCAGTTAGCACTCAAATATTTCTTTGAGATAATTCAGTTTTCTGGAGACATCTTCAGCTTGAATTTCTAATGGACTAAAGGCCAAAAAAGCAAGGTGTTTGGACATACATCTAAAACTTTTGACTCAGACACTATGTGTTGGTCAATATTTAATGTTCATAAAATTAAGGAACTTAACTCAAAATATAGGCAATAATAAGATTAAATAGAATGAACTGAAAATGAGCTGAAGAACGTGGCTGATTAAAAAGGTAAAATTGAAGAAATAGCTCAATTTACCCACAAATAAATCCTCTTAATATGCTTCAAGCAAGTCAGAAGGGTAGGCAATGAAGAATGTAAAAAAGCCATTTAGTTAGTGAACAATTCTTCCTACAGGAGGACCCATTCACGAATTTGGAAATTAGAAAAATGTTTCAGTAATTGAGCATCAATACCACATTGTGAAACATTGTAAGTGCTTTTTCATTTATTTAGAGAATTATGCCAAAGACTGACTCATGTAACATGCATATTATAACTAGAAAAATTAGAGATAGAAAATCCAAGTGTAGACACAGTCATTCAGTTGAATTACTTCTTCTCTAACATCAAACATAATATATTAACATCAATGTGAGATAAGAATTAATTCCCTATCTTCAAAAATGAATGGCCCCAAAAATCTTATTTGTGCGTGGACATGGTGAAGCCATGAAGATTGCCAGTGAGTGGTAACAAAACATTGAGCATCTAAGAGAGCATGAGTGATGATTAATTATGTGAATTGCTGTGAGATACAACAGCATTAAATGTGTTATTTTCATCCTAACATTTCTCCCTTAGTAGATTCCTTTGGGTGTTCTTTCTACAATCAAGATGTTAATTATCTCAAAGTTCTTTTTATTTAAATACTTTTTCTTTAACTTTTAATTGCCAAGTAGGAAAATGACAGAGAACAGAAAGGTGAATTGTTATTAACTTCCATTTACATGATTTCAAAGTGTGTGGATTTTGAAAAAAATTACTAGTAAACATAACAATGACTTATTTTTGTTGAGAAAAATCACCATCATGCAAAATTCTGAGGTAAGACGAAGTACATGAATGAATTGCAAAATTGTCTTTCTAAAATAAACATCAGCCTAAAATAGAATATTCGGTTTAATATGTCTATATACATTTCTATATCATTTAAAAATGGAAGGCTTAAAAAGAATGCAGTCATAGATGAGGTTAAAAATACTTTATAGGTGTCATCCCAGTGGCATAGTAATTAAGTTCGTGTGCTCTGCTTCCGTGGACTGGGTTTGGTGGCTTCAGATCCTGTGTGCGGACCTACACAGGGCTCATCAAGCCATGCTGTGGTGGTGTCTCACATAGAAAATAGAGGAAGATTGGCACAGGTGCTAGCTCAGGGACATTCTTCCTCAAGCAAAAAGAGGAAGATTGGCAACAGATTTAGCTCAGGACCAATCTTCCTCACACACAAAAAATCCCCCCAAAACAGAAAACTTTATAGTTGCAAGACAATTATCAATATAAAATTCTTTGGAATCCAGCTCCCAAGAGAACATTGCATTTATTATAGATGACATATGAATTAGTTATAAATTAGCCAAGTTTATGCTTGGCACATTGAATTGAGATTCAGAAATGGCTTGGAGACTATTGAATGGTAAAATGTAAGCTTAAAAAGATGAATGTTTTAGCTGAAATATACATATATTTTAGAGGATTGATGAGAAATCAATGAAATAATTTTTTAAAATGTCTATATATCTATTTCTAGCATAATGTGCTAGATTCTTTCAATGCCAACTCATAATTATGGAGTGACATAAGAAAATATGTTATAGACAGCATATGTAAAAAGCAATATGTCACTTTTAGCTAACTTTGAAATGGAAGTTACTATAATGCATGTGAAATTAAAGTAGAGATTATATTACTCTATCAAATATCATTTTCCCAAACAGACATTTCAGTGGGGATATGTCTCTAAGAAATAGCTTCATTTAACATAAACTCTAAATTTTTGTTTGTAAGAAATAATTAAATTCTTACAATTGTTGTTTTACTTGAAAGGATAAAATTTGTAATGCCTGTATATCAGTCATTCAGAAGAATTTAGTTTGAAATTATTGGGAAATGACTTTTCCTCAGGTATGTACCAAAGAAATTTGTTGGAAATATTTATCTATTGAAAGAATATCTTATATTCTAGAATATAGCATAAACTGACCTGGAATGAAAACTATATTAAATAGTTTAGTGTATATGGGTGCCAGATTGCTTTCAACTGTTGAATCTCATCCCTTCAGCCAAAATAACATATATGTATAGCTGTATTTGTCCTAAGACTATAGAGCTGACAAAATGTACAGAGCAGAAAAATACATTATTTGCTAGTTTTAGAAGTTATCTTGAGTTTTTTTTAAGTAGGACAGAACATAAATACATAAGTAAATAAAATAACTATGTTTTTGTACAGATAGTCAAAATGAAGTCAGTGATACCTTTATTAAAAAGAGATAACCATCATGCCTAGTAAAATACAAATTTGGTCACTATTTCTTAAATCTAGAACTAACGGCTCATTCTTATTTCATTTGTGTATATAAATATTAATTAATATACAGTAATAAGTAGGAACACGGAGATACTAGAATACTGTGTGTGTATTCTCTCAGCAAACTATTGCATCATTACATTGCAATGCAGAAGAAGCTACATGAAATGCACTAAAGCAATTCCATATCATCTGTATCTCTCAACAAATAACATGTGTTCAACACTATTTTGGCATGTCTTTATAACCCTCCAGGGCTAAAGTAATGACAACCTATATATGGGAAGAGCAACTTCTAATCAAAATGCTTTCATATCATGCATACACCTACACACACAGCACTAGGGATAAGCATCTATGACAGGAGCGGTGGGTGATCAGCACACAGCAGGCTATGACAGTGTGGGGTGGGGAAATTTGGATATAGGAGCAAACTTGTATTCTTTCACAACAGACAAAAGTTTCTCTCGTACCTTAATGGAGGAAAAAGTAAGATGTAAAATATCGTATGCAATTCCTAAGCCAATGCTGAACCAAGTTAAACTTTTCTAGGAATAATATTTACATCAGTGTAAGGTACCCTGTAGTGACAAACTTTCTATAATGAGGCTACTCTGTTTACTTTGCCTATTCTGAGTGATTAGAGTGCTAAGAAACACTCAGGTAAATCAGTACTCATGAAAATAAAGAGCATTGGGTCAATATTTAGACTCATTTGGATTATGTTCATTTAAAGATTTAGAATGTTCAGACTATTTTTAAGCAAAATACACAATTTGAAAAATTGATGAGTTCACTTGGCTCAGAGAGTTATTAGGTTAAGGAAAATAGTTTTCAAAAAGTCAGAATGATCAAATTTGCACAATGATTAGAATATTATAAAAAGAAATGGGATGTATATAATTTCTAATGAATTATAAAAAGAAATGGGATGTATATAATTTCTAATGAATTAATTTGCATTACCATGTTTCTTTTTTTAAAATAAGTATTTATTGACTTTTGGTGAGGTAAACTTGATTTTTCATCAAAGTTCTTTTTGCATTGTTTTCTAAAGCAATTTTTAATTGAATATATATCTTTTATACTAATGCTTTTATAAACATTATTTGTTTAGTTACTGGAAATTTAAATATATTTCTCTCCCAAAGAGCCTACTATATCTGATTATGTAAATTCAATGTAATTAAAAAATTTTAAATTTACAGTTAAGATAATCAAATAAAGATAATTGAATTATGTGAAATTTTTTTTCAGGTATGAAAAATGAAGAAGTGGCTAGTTATATTGGGAACAAATGCAATTTTAGCATAAAAGAAAAATAGTTGAGTGAGTATATATTATAATACAAGAAAACTTAATAAGTGCTTTAAAATAATACTAGGCCTAGCTATCTGCTACTTAATATTTATCTAACATTATGTCTTTTGTCTATTCATCTAACATTATATCTATTCTTAACTAAGGTGTGCAATAGAATCATCTGGGGAGATATTTTTAAGTAAACTTTACCCCAGAAATTTTAGTTTAGTAGACTGAGCTGTTTGTATACGATTTCCCAGGGTTAATTCTGCCTTTGGTGTGCTTAAATTCAATCATTGAGGGCTACATTATGGGCTGCCAAGTCAAGTCACTAATACGCTCTACTGTAGCCTACCTTTCTAAATATTTAGCCATTATACTTGGATATGTGTCCTTCTGACGTCTTTTTAACCAAAAATTTCAAAGGATGCTACTATCAAAACCACAATCATTCATTTAGTATAAAGAATCTCAACATATCTTAACATTAAGAATGAATTCTGAAGATACATGGGCTGGACAAAATATTTTATTTTTGCCTTATTTTTAGGTCTCTATTTTCTGGCAAGAAGGCCTGCTTGGAGAACTTGTCTGTATAAATAAATCTTCCATTTATTTTGAAACTAACTTTATCAAGGCATATGATTATTTCTTCTACAGAGACTATTGGAAGATATATGTGACATTTCTGTTTAACATATATTTAAAAATCATTTTGAATAATCAAATAACTCAGTTAATAAGATGAAGGATGATAATTAAATAACCTTCTACTGAGTGAGGGAAGACAAATGGAGTTGTTAGAAAGAGAATATGCCTCTTAGCTGAAGCCGGCTAGCGGTAGTTTGGCTTTAAATACGCAAAGAGCTGTGTTTCCCCACCAAACACTGCCTGGGTGCAGAATATGCCGTCTGCTTTTTTACTGATGACCACATTCCTCTACTTAGAGTTAAGAAAATGAATTTACCGTGTCTGAGAAACGGTAAAACTTCTCCAATGCAAAAGCTTCTGTCTGTCGGAAGGTAAAGTGGACCAGGAGGGATTGAGAAACCAGAGAATCAAGTCATATATGATTAAATATAATTGCACAATTGATTTTAATTGCATATATCATTTTAACACACATATGTATCAATTAATAGATTTTCACATATGCAAGGTATCCACCCCCCAAATATGAAATGAAATAAAAAAAAAATCTATTTTCCTGACTAAATCTTAATTATAGTATTTAATCCCTTAATATTAAACTAGAGGTTAAAAAATAATATAATATTACTATTTTTGCATTTCTACATTTTCCTAGAGAGCCAATCACTAGAAAAATTACTCTTGCTGTCTTTCTGTGAGCTAAAGAATAATGGCATCAAATATTTTTATCTCAATAGTCTTATAGGTGGTAAAACTGAAGAAAGAGCTGCTTTGGTAAGGATAATTTCCTAAAAAGGAGGAACCAGAATTGAGCATCTAATCTTGTAGTCTATTACATTATCCATTGGGTACTGTGACTGTTGGACATGTCGTGGGTGTGGAAAATGTCTGAGTTCTAAGCCCCTCTATGGACACCACATGCATAATACTTCTCATTTCTAGTGTTTGCAGCACATGGTTGATATATTCTAAATTGTATAAGAAGGATAAAGGTAGAGAAATCGAAAATAAAAGTGAAAAAGCAAACCAAAATGACAGAGGGAAATAAATATTACCTTACTTCTGATTAATGATATTAAAAGGAAAGTTGTCTTTATCACTCATTAATGGGAAAGAAAGACAAAAGCTTCATCCCTGTGACATAGAATTTTTTGTCTTGTTATAGTGTTTCAGCCATTGCCAGTATCATGAAAGGGGAAGCAGTAGGCATTAAGGAGGGAGAAAGAAGTGCAGGAAAGAGAGAGAGGGAGAATGAGGAAAGAACAAGGAAACCAGTAGATGGGGATGGGGTGGGGGAGGAGATAAACAGAAGTTCCCTCCCCATCAAAATATGTTTCAACATACAAATGGCGTGCTTTTATTTTCATATGTGATCAAATTCAAGCTCCAGCATTGTTTCTGGTCCAATGTATTACTAAAAGTATCACAAGACTGACGTTCCTTCCATGCTACTGTGAGTTGGTATTTATTGGAGAAAGTGATGATTCTGGGGGCTCAATCAGACATGACTGAATAAGTTACTGCTTTAGAATATGTCTAATACTGAGTAGGCTTAGCACTGAGAGATCATGGCTTAGTGCTTTAAAAAAAAAGTTTATGAATATACAAATTGCAGTCAGTAATTCAGAAACCATAAGGAATCTTTAAAAAAATTAAATCCATTCAAAATTCTTAGAATGGACACTATATGAACCAGACAATTATTTTTAAGATTCGAGTATGTTTTGACTTAAATGTTTTGGTATATTGGATTCTGGCCACAATATCTGCTGTTGTATGCAACTTTGATATTTCTCTATTGCTTAAGAGTCCATTTGCTTTTAAAATGTCAGTTGGCACATTCACATTAAAAAATATGAACTCATAGATGTGCTAGTCAGTAGAAAACTCTGAGTTACAGAAAAGGAAAGGAAGTTGATCAAACTATGTCCATGTAAAGAGAGATGAAATTACAACTCTTAGTAGAGGGGAACAAGCCCATTCTGTACATCCAAATGCAATTAGGAGATTACTCCTATGACTTCCTGTGGTCTCCCAACGATGTTTGAAATAAAACTTCCTCTGGGTTTCATTTATCAGGTGACAACAAGGCAAAAATAGCACCTTATTGTGTTTCCCATGCGGATTCAGAAGAAATGTTTTAAAAATATGAAAGTATACATAAAAAAGAGACCACATAGCTTTACATAAACATCATAGCATTAATAAATAGGTAACATTTGATGAAAACAATTAAAATAATCAGTTACATAAAAGGAACAACTTTAATAGTTATATGTGATGACTTACGTCAAGTAAAACCATCAGAAACATTGCAAGTAGGAAATAACATATTTTGTTAATTGAAGCAAAAAATGGTTTTGTTCCAGGAAGTACATTAGAAAGAAGTTGAGAAAGCTCTCATGTCACCAGATATACTATGTAAAGTGTAGGTAGACGTCACCATTTTCTCTCTGAAGCTATTTTTGACAATTGAAGTTTCAGTCAGACAAAACCAAAGGAACATCAATCTCTTAGTCCCCGGTCTCCATTTCATTTCTATACATCCTTATTAAATAGAACAAATTCGTTTTCTAGTGAAAGTTTGTATCCCAGCAAACCCAGTGCAATTAATAGCTTACTTTATTCTTTCTCTTTCTGCGAAATCTCAGAAGTTCTTTGTGCTGTCTTGAAACAAAATTTACAGCTGCATATTCCAGAAGTGCTGAAAACACAAACAGGAGGCATACTGCCATCCAAATGTCAATAGCTTTGACATATGAAACCTAGCCGAGAGAGAAAGAGAGAGAGCAGTTGACTTGTATTGTTACTTCCATTGCGAACAAAACTGCATGCCTGATTCTAAATTATACCATTTGTATACCATCTTGAAAAAGAGAATGATCCCAATAGTTTTTTACTTAATAAGAATTTTTCAAAAGTTAATTTTCAAGTTTTATATATTAATTATGTATTAAAATGTGTATTTTTGCCAAAATTTTTTTCAAATGAGGGACCAGCCCAAACATATGAAAGAAAAAATAAGATGAAATGTAGTTTAACCTTCAAGGTAATACAGTATAATGCTCGAAAAGTATGAAGTAACAACGAAATATAGATAATGCTGTTGACCTTTTAGCTTTATTTATATGACCTTCAGCATATTTTCTTATTAAAAAACGTTTTTTGTTTTGAAATAATTTAACCTTACAGACATGTTGCAATAACAGTAAAAAGGACTCCCAAGTTTCCTAGTTGTTACCATTTGGTCACATTTATCTATCCATATATCTATATCTATATTGACATGTTTTTCTCCTTGAACTATTTGAGTGCAATGTGCATACATGATACCCCAGTACCCCTAAATGTTTATGTATATTTTCTGAAAAAAAAGGGACACTCTCCTACATAACTCTAGCATGCCCAACAAGATCAGGAAATCAACATTGATAAAATACTGTCCTTTAATCCTAAAATTTCATTCCTATTTCGCCAATTGTTCTAATAATGCCCTTTTTAGCAGAAAAACTTTTTTCTTCCAGGCCAGCATTTAATCTAAAATTATGTATTGCATTTTGTCATCATATCTCTTTAGTCTCCAATGTAGAACATTTGTTCAGCCTTTTCTTGCCTTCTGTGATCTTGATATTTTGGATAAATGCAGACCAGTTATTTGAGTGTCTCTTGCTTTTAGTTTATCTGATATTTCCTTATTTTAGACTCCGGTTATGGGAGTTTAACAGGAACAGTGATGCTTTGTTCTTCACAGTGTATCATATCAGGAGGCGCTCAATGTTGACCGGGTGGTTGGGGTGTTGTCTACTAGGTTTCTCTACTACAAAGTTACTAATTTTATTTGTTTAGGGATGATTCGGAACTACATAAATATCCTCTTACTCTTTAAACTTTCACCCTCTAGACATTGATGATGTTTGCCTGAATCCATTATTACAATGATGATTTCCAAATGGTAGTTTTCTTATTCTATCATTTCATCTACATTTATTAGTCAACATTATATAGTAAGGAAAGTTTCTGTCTGCCACATTTATTTGTTTATCCATTTATCTATTTATATATATCATATGGACTGATGAATAATCATTTTGTTCCACGGATTATAATGCATCAACATCACTGTTCACATTATCCAGATTGGGTAAGTTGGAGCTCCTAGAAGTTAGCCCATATATCATTTTGGCAAGTCTTCATCATGATTTGAGCACTTCCTTACTTTCTGGCACAAGGTATTTCGGATTCATCTTGTACTCTTCCTGTTCCAGTCCTTGACTGAGCCCTTTCTACAAGAATCCTTTCTTTAGTGAAAAATAGTTTTTAAAAACCATCATCTGGGCACTGGGTATGCTCTTTGCTTCCTGAGTGTCACTGCTTCTAGGCCCTCTTAGCAGATAGAGGTAGGAATTTTATATATATATAGATATATCACATATCTATATATAATATATCATGTAATATATTTTTATAATCATATATAATTATAAATTTTTATATAATAATACGTAGTCATGCTTCACTTAACGATGGGGGTGTGTTTTGAGAAATGCATCATTAGGCAATTTCATCATTGTACAAACATCATAGCATGTACTTACACATACCTAGATGGTATAGCCTACTTCACATCTAGGCTATATGGTACTAATCTTACAAGACCACCATTGTATATGCAGTCCATTGTTGACTGAAACATTGTTATGTGGTGCATGACTGTATAATTATTATATAATTTCTATAAACATATATACAAAACTTATCTATCATCTATCTGTCTATCTATCTATCTATCTATGTATCATCTACCCTTCTATTTATATTTAAAACATGAATTCACACTAGTATTTAAAGTTCCAATTCCACACCACAGGGTTCATTCCAGCCTTTACTCTTTCCATATATACACTTTTTCTGACTGTGAGAAAAGTGGCTCACATTATTTTCAGCATGTATTTAATTATTCTCCCTGTTCCTTATGTAACTAATATCTTAATTCTGCTGACCACCCCAAGCCTGAGCCTCATTGGCCCCCGCTACCTCATTGGTTTTGGATCCACACCTGAGGTCCCCACTGGCTGTCTCAGTTCTGACCGTATCCTTGACTCTTGGACCCTGGTCTCACCAGTCCCACCCGATCTCCTTAACCCTGACCACCTCCTTAGCTCCACAAGGTTTTTATGTCTTCTGTTACTTCAAAGGTAAGGGAGAGAAGAGAAAGAAAGGGAAAAGAACAGAAAACTTTAAAAATTATTATTATTTTTAGAAAATAAATGCAATGAGAAGTGAAAGGAAGGGAAGAGTAAAGGAAGAGATAGGCCCCTATGTCCTAGAAACAAACTGATATACTCTTAAGACCTTTTGGAGGGAACAATTCCGTAACCTTTAAGAAGCTGCTTTAATATTGCTCTCAGGTTAATAGGGCAGTGATTTGAGGTTGTAATTGAACAAATATTGCTGTTTATGTCAATTACTTAAGGACGAAAGTTTGCTTTGAGTTTTAGTGTCTTTTCTTATGGTATATGTGTATGCATTACACAAAGTGCTATACTATGCAAGCAGTATCAGTAAAATCATTACCTTTTGTGGAGTAAGCATGAGTTAATTCATTTTATTGCTTATCTTAAACATGTCAATTAGACATGGAAAAAAAATCTCTAATTTGTGAAGAATTAGAATTAAGAATGAAAGATACTTCTAAGGCTTTTTTCAGTTTTTCCTGGGAAATAGACAATTACCTGGAAGTTTTCTTCTCCACTAATAGAAATAAATGTCCCTTTCCCAAGAAGATGTGGCTCCAGGTGAGCAGAGAGCCAGGCTAGATGCAAGAAAAGATGCACTAACTATGTCTTCGGACCCAGTGTATAGTTATTTTGAGGATCAAAACCTTATACTTTGGAAATCTGACTATTTTCATGCTGTTTGTATCTTCTGTAGTTTTTTTTCTTTCTTATCCTTAATATTTAGTGAAGTTATTTTCATTGAATGTCAGCCTGTGGAAATCTTGATCAAATTTAGATTGTGGTTTAAAAGGGGAGGTGGCTCAAGATTTGGGGAAAAGTTATGGTGGAGTGAGTAGCAAATAAAGTAAGAGATAAAACCTCCCTCTCACCTTTCATAGCTGGCCTTTGAGGTCTAAGGCTAGAATTTGCCCAGGTCTGATTCAGAATCTCATGGCATCTGTGCCTACCTGAACACATTGCATCGTAATTGCTTATTTCTTGTTCTCATTCTGTTTAGAGTGTGAACTCTTTAAGGGTAGATGGCATCTCTGTTTTGTTCACAACCACAACAGTATTTGGCATATATGTACCTAGTTGCTGATTGAAAGGGCAGATAAATGAAGGTATAAAATGTTAAAATATGGGGAAGAGTGAATCATAGATGATTCATATGGAGATTCACTTTCTGAAATGACGCTCCGTTAATACCTTGGATTAGATTGACTTTCTTTTAAAAAGAGGTCATTTCTCAACACTTCCAATGGTGTCAACTTATATATGAAATATGCCAACAAAGGAGCCCTCTGCATCACATCTTGTATGTTAAGTGTAACTGTTACTGATCGGAATGACCTCTATTGAGCAAAGAGAAATATGCCTCTGCTTTACTCCAGGGCTGTGCTAGTGTCCATCTGTTTTTATAGATTTAAATATCACAAGTTCTGCAATTATGCCAGAAATTTCTGGCTGCCCTCAAGTACATACAGTCCTGGAAGTTGTAATATAGCTTTCAAAGTCACTTTCTCAAGCTACACCATTCCTGGAAGAATATGACTCACAAAGTCTGTGCCCATTCCTTAACAACCTGAACCTATAATAACATGAACCAAAGAGATAAATCAGAAGTTTAATTTCCAAATTAATCCAATGAACGTTTTCAATGACAACAGACATGTGCAAACATCATTTGTGCCTTCCACAGTTCTGCTCATTGTGAACTCCTCCTGAGTGTTGAATTTTAAAAACCTTTCTTCATCCTCTCCTCTGATTCTCTTCAACAATTTCAACACTTTTTCTCCTCCTTCACCCTCTCTGCCCTCCAAGTACAGCAAACACAGGGCCTGAGAAGTCTGCAACTCTAGGACTAGTAACTTTAAAATAAAGATGGCAGATCTTACTCCAGCATGCTCATAACATACTCACGACATACAACATACTCCCCGTGTGATCCAGAATTCTCACTACTTTCCACTCACCACTGCCTGCTGTCCTGTGGGGCAGTCATTCTACAATCTGGTTCATCCCTCTGGACCACCTTGCCACCAGTCCCATTGTCCACTGAGCTGTTGGAACCTTGATTTTATTCTAAGCAGCAATGTCTCCTCAGTATTACTCCTTGAACACAACGGTATGAGAAAATGAAAACTAAATGTTTACCAATTAGATGCACCTGTCAGGAGGACCTTTGTCCTGGAAACCGCTCCACAGCCACCCAGTGGAAGACTGCTTCCTCTTGAATCATACTCTTCCCGTGGCTCCTGTGACAGGTTTCCTCCCTCCACTCTATGCCGCTCTATTTTGTGGACCCTTCTTCCTTGGGGATATGGCTGGGGCGTCTTCTGTTCTCACTCTGAGACTTCTCACTAGTGGACCTTGTCTGTTACTATGGATTCAATTCCTCCTCTCTACTCATGACCCCCAAATGTCTATTTCCTGACTGGACTCCTCTCTAGCCAGGATCGTACTTGACAGCAATTTTTTTGGATGTCTCACGCACATCAAAATTAATCTGATTAAAGAAAGTTATGAATCTCTACCAAACTCCCCTC